GGACACCTATGCAGAAGTTGAATGAATTAAAACTTTGTAGTGTGTACATGTTAGCAGGCATAAATGAGAAAGGGGAAACCTATGATTCATGCACAACAGGAAGTATCATACTCAACGGTACAGCTTGTGCGGGAATAACAAATTCATTAGATACTGTAATGATATGCGAAGCGTATGAATAGTGATCTAGTTATGTAGTAGTATCATGGAAGCAGATTTCGCAGATTTACTGGCACAGTGGCTAATACGCAGGCAAGGACAGGGAATTGAAGGTTTTTACGAGGTAGGTTATGGTACGCACATAAAGCAAAAGAGCACAGCGCACGGAGCGCATAGGTGAGTACAGTGATGTGCTCACCAGGAACGTCTGTTACCAGAATATATATGACTATGGCGGATATTGCATTGGCATAGTGTGTACAAGATCAGTGCTTGGACAGTAAGTATTGAACTATGAGTATTCACATACGTCATGTACTAGCAGCATTATGCCGTTGAAACATTCGGGGTCACTACTTTACCCTTTACAGACAGGAATATGGGCAGATATGCAACATATGGTAGACCAATTTCTTACCTATATGGAAAACGATCATGACACACTGGTGACATCGTGTAATGATGCAGGATGGTGGAAGGAACAAATCATAAATTGGCATAATGATGACGACAAAGTTGTATGCAAAATGATGGTGCCGGCATTATTTTTCATGAATGGATGGGTGCTGGGTGCACATAGGGAACACCATGCTTCGGCCGCAGGAACCCCATTACACACATATATACGGTGCATAATTGCGAATGTATTTATGTTTCAGTTAATGAAAGCAAACTGTGGGAGAAATCACGGTATACGACAGGCCTTGCACATATTAGACCACTTTATGGCCAGTGTGCCTAATGCTGTTAATCTTAACATGTGTACCTGGGTGGTTAATAATGAGCTGAAAGTAGGAGGAAAAGTAATAGGCGCAGAATTTGATGAATGGATAATGGGGAATGAAAAAATGAAGGCCAAGATGAAACAGTTACAGCAACGTGTAAAATGCAAAAGAACGGGGAAACAGACATCTGACCACTGGAAGCGACGTATGGAATTATTGAAAGCAGGACACTTGCGGAAAGCAATGGAGACCGGAATGACGCGTATATTAAGGAAAGTACGGAAGAAAGTAGAGACACTACGGGGGCCCGTTCCTTCCGACGACGACGATGAGGACGACGACGATGAGGAGGAGGAAGGTGAAGAGGAAGAGGAGGAGGACGACGCGAATGGTAAGCACAGTACAGGAGCAGCGTTCTACTCATACGGGCACTAAGAACACGCATAGTACGCATGCGGCCGATACGCATACGGCCGCATGCTAACACGGCCGCCGCACACGAACACGGCCGAATGCGCATACGCGGCCCATACGAATCTGCACGCACGCATGCACGGCACCACAACAAGACGCAACCGCGGTGCAACAACCAGGCACACGGCAGCCACAACAACACAGCAAACGACTTCGTTGCCCCACTTCAGTTGAGCGCAGACGAGTATGGAGTGTGCATGAATTGTAGATTTTATGGATATAAGGGAATTATATGTGGATAGTTTATTACAGAACATTTGAAAAACCAGGAAAAAGAAGAAGGGGTGTATATACGTTGTTCTCCCTCAGGGGCGCTATCACTGTAAATGATGTTGTACGCGGCCCTGGGTCGCTATATCCGTTTACGCTATATTCTACATCATGTATGTTGTTATTATCATGTACATACCTAGTGTGCGCAAGACGGGATGTTAATTCAGAGGCCAAGTTGTGGAAGTGTTGAATAAAGAAACATAAAACAAACAAAGGCAGAATATTATATTATATGAAACCAATTGTCACATGTTGTATCCATAGTAATCATCATGTAGTGTTTGTTACATGCAGCATATGAAATAATTCTTTCTTATATATGTGAAATATGGGGACACGTTTCCCCTTTTTTATTCTTAAAATGGGTTCCTCATCCATAGTATCAATAAACACTTGATCATATGAACAAATAATACAACATAAACACAAACCATGTATATTGGTAAGAGCACAAACAAAAATTATAAAGTAGGACACGCAACTATAGGATACATGCTTTAAAGGAAACATATGCCTATCACACAAAATCTGTAGGACCTCATGAGATTGTCGATCCTGTAACCAGACGAATAACATATCCTAACGTCAACATAATCTACGAGAAATAGAATACGGCACGTACTTATGGTTTTGTAGGTAATTTCTGTGACCAACGTAGTTTCAGTTTCCCATGTGCTTCTTACTATTAGCTACCTCCGGTTTCTTAGGTACCTCTGATTTCATGCGTGTCTCCGGTTTCACGAGTACTTCTGGTTTCTTAGGAACTTCCGGTTTGCTACATACATCTGATTGCCCAGGTAGTGTCAAAATCCATGGTAATTGCAGTTTCCCCGGTGCTCCTTGCTTCTCACCTACTTCCGGTTCGGCAGGTATGTCTGATTTCCCAGATGCTTCTTGCGTCTCAGCTAGTTCCGGTTTCCTAGGTGTTTCCGATTTCTTTGGCACTTCTGGTTTCTTAGGTGCTTCCAGTTTTTCGGATTCTCCTGCTGTGCCCGGTGCTTCGTGCTTCTCAGGTACTTCTGGTTTCCTAGGTACATCCGATTTGCCAGACGCTTACTGCTTGTTAGGTACTTCTGGTTTTCCAGGTACCTTCTGCTTCCCGGGTGTCTCGGGTTTCTTATTTACTTCTCCTTTTTTTTGCGTTTCTGTGGGAGCTTCCTTCTTCTCCTTCTTCTTCCAAATTTTATCCAGTAAACATTTCCCTGTCTTCGAGCAGCAGAAACATAGTAGCACACACAAATAGATAATTGCAATGAGTAGGGCTATTCCATGCATGCTCCCGAGCGCGGACAACACTAACATTATTCCAGTTTCGGTTTCATTACTGAAAGGTTGGATCATGGTCATAAAGAATGCATACAGGACTGTGGAGATTACTATAAGTATTGTCCATGCTTTCCTTCCCATTTTACAACGTTTCAATTTCTGACAACATTCCTTCAGCTTGTTCTGCGCTGTTCCACCCTGTGGCTTCTTCTTTACAGGTACTGGATTCTTGACGTGCACCTTGGATTTTAATTTTCTCCGCATGTCCACGAACACCCTGTTCTTCCCGGGACTACCCGTAGCCTGACCGTCGTAAACATTACGTGTGCCCTGTTTCCCTACATCAGTTCCATCACTCAATGTCACGGTAGTCGATCCAACTCTAGTTGCATCTACCGTGTCAAATTGGCTTGTGACAGTAGCCGATGATGTACCTAGTGTACTTGCCTAAAATGTAGGAAAAAAAGGGGGAATACATGGGTTTGTTGTGGTGTATGTATACTAGGATGTGTCAAACGCGCGTATATAAGAGAAGGGGATGTTCATAGTTGTGTTGAAGGAGTCAGCAGCTTATCACAATACATGTGATAAGTCCCCACAAAAAACAGTGGTTCCTATCATACACAGTGAGCAATTTGCCATAGGCAAAGGACTAGAATAGATATAGAGAGTTTCACAAGCAGCGTCATTGTTTTTTTTTCTTTTCCGTTTAGTGTAGAAAATGTTAGAAGTGGCAATATATTGTTTGTATATATATGAATTATAGAATTGTTTTCTCCTTTTTCCACATCTAGGTGTATAGATTATGCGTGTGATACTTCTCCCTATTGGGCGCTAGTAAATATTGATAGAATAAATTTTGTACGAGGTTTACTATTCTTACCTAAGTATGTACACATGAATTGAAACAAGAATTCCTATGCAGAATGCTACAAATACAACATGACGAACGTGCCACAGGAACGGATAAGAACCAGTTTTAGATACATATTGTACGACGGTAAAAGTTGACTAAAGGGGTCAACATTTTTCACGAATCTCATACGGGCTCATCAATCATGTCGCCGTTTGAACCGTGTAATGGGGCCAAATTGTATAATCCGAGTGATGCAATTCTACATGTGAAGTAGCATCTTATCCTTTTAAACTGGATATAACGGTGAAGAGAATAAGCCGAAGAGAACCAATTATAGCCCGTTTTACATATACGAACGGCGAAATTTTTTTTTTTTTGGTAAGTGGAGTGCTGCGGGCTCAAAGTCACATTGTGTGAGTGTTTAGGGGGGTTACTATTATAACATATTCAAAATGATTATGTCTATGCTGTCGTCGCCAGTATGTGCTGCGTTGATACATGTGCGGTTCTCATTTTGTTATATATGGTCATGAATAATAAATGTGAAAAAAAAATTTTGCTTACAACGATTTGTATACGTATACGGCCACCTCCCTCTTTTTTGGAAAAGTTTTAATGGATTTAATTAACAGAGCAAAGAGCATATTTAAGAATGAAGGGTACATGCAGGGTGATTTTGTATTATGAGGTTTAACAGCTTTAGTGTATAAGGGCTTCAGGTTCCATGATTGTAATGTTCAGGAATCCGGATCCAGGATTAAACAAGTTCAGGGTTCGCGGGTGCTAGTTCTGGTGTTGAGGGGCCTTAGAGGGTTTGGGATTAAGGACTTTTTTTTTTTCTTTTTTTTTTTAGAAAAATAATAAAACATTGGATTTACAGAATTATATATATATTGTGGCATTACTGTATTCCATCATACATGCATGTACATGGCCCATGTGTACCCAAGTATCTAATATGATGTCGCGCGAGCCCAACCTTTGTTGCGTCAAATGTACAATGTAGCGGCATTTAGGGACGCACGTCTCTAGTAAGCTTGTTTTTTTCCTTCTTTTTCTTTGTATGAAGTACCTTCCAAATAGTAAGTTGCTTACGGTCCATATGGGAACATTGAAAGAAATGGCAACGGTTGGTCCATTTTCCACTCGGTTATATTGGATACGTACACGGTGTCGCGTCGTATGTGTGCACTTACCTTCCAAAGGGAATAACCAAGAAGGGCGACGGTGACGGCGGACAGGAAGAACAGCACGGGAGTAGTGGCGGTCAGGACGGTGTCGGTTAGGTCGGGTCCGTCAGGGCCGCCATTCTTATTTATATCCCAATTACCCGAAGTTTCTTGTGTGGGGGTAGCTGGTGCAAATCCCCTTGCTATACTGTCCAATCCCTTTGGACCACTTAGATCTAACCCAAAGCCTTTATCCTCCCTGGCGCCACCGAGAACAGTGTCCGCATCGCAACGGGCTTTGGGGGTACTACCGGAAAAACCTGGACCAGTACCCGCAGTATCATCAGCAGGGGGATTAACACTACTAACAATATCCCAGAATTCATGGTCAGGATAAGTGTCCTCAAGAATTGGGGTTGCCGCACGTTCACGTGTTCCTTCTGCTTCACCGTTATGCCCATTTGCGCCAACTGGGCCAGGTGTATCTTGGGCCCCAGGGGAATGTTCAGGTTCCTTTATACCACCGTCTACGGCGCTCACTGGTTCAGGTGCAGAATTGATTACCTCAGGCACATCGTCCACCTTGCTCTTTGTAGGGTTCTCCTCATTATTCGTGATTACAGTGTCGGGGGGGTTGTTCTCAATTGGTTTTGTTGATATTGGAACATGATTCGGTTCGGTAGGTAACTGTGCACTCACTGGATCCGTTTCTTTGTGTACTATTTGTGTTGTGCCCTCAGGGGGCGTAATGGAGTCCTTACCTGAAAATTCAGAACAAGGAACAGAATATGGAAGGAAACTGAACTTTTTTGAGGTTGATGGTGGTTCGGCCACACGCTTGGCGACATGATGCCACGGTGCGAACGGTGGGTCGCTGGTGCCACCCCGGGAAAAGACTCTCTCTCTCCCACAACACACACACACAGTGTCTGTCTGTGGACGTCTACCTGTCGACGTCTACCTGTCTACGTCTACATCCAGCGGCCGACCCATCGCTCTTGCGCTCATTCTCATTCGACGTTTGGGTTTCTCTCTCTGCGTGTTGTCGCTCCCTCTGTCGCCGGAAAATTGTGTGTTTGTTGTTTTCTCATGGTTTTTGTTGTGGATATGCACTCAGGACACTACCTTCTTGTGGGTCTTCGGGGTTCGTCCCACAATCTGCGTCGACTCCGGGACGTGTGTCAAAGGAAAGGGTGAGGGTTGACGTGGCCCCTGGAACACCCAATCCTGAATTTACAGATGTAAATACTGTGGTCCCTTTGATGCACTTACCTGCTTTGTCTGCATCCTGCCCCCCCTGGGTGCCCTCAGGCGCATTCCCCTGGGGTGGTGGAGGTGGGGGGGGTTGTTGTCCAGGTCCTGGTCCTTGACCTGGGCTTTGTGCCGTGGATGCCTTGTCCCCTGCGGTCGGTGATGATGGTGTCGAGGGTGGTGCCTGTGGTACTGATGGTAATACTGGAGATGCCGGTGCTTGTGGTTGGGACGCCTCTCCTCCTCCGGCTGTTGTATCTGCCCTTCCAAGTTCTGTTGCTCCTGCTACAGCACCTGTTGTTGGTGGTGGAGTCTGTTGTATTTTTCTGTCTTCATTAGATGTTGCATCCTTCTTGTCTTCCTTCTTGTGGTGACTATGGTCCCCGTTCTGGTTGCTCGTTTCCTTCTCTGCAAGGAGGACAAAGCAAGATGAAAGGACGATAAAAACAAAACGGATGGATTAACAAACACAGGAAGGGGGATGAACTCGGTGGACTGCGTACTGGGTGCAGTGGGGTTGGATGATAGCAGTACATTTTATGTGTCACCGTCATCGCGGCGCGGCCGCCGGTGTGGCTCCCGTCGTGGTCGTTGCTCCATCCGTCGCCGCCGCTATATCCCACGCACCACTGTGATGCCCCGCGCACTCGGCAATTCTACGGTGGCCGCTCGCCGCTCAACCGAAGTGGGACAGCGAAGCAGGGCAGTGCCGTGCTGTTCCGTCGTGTGTGCGTGTTGTCGCGGTGCGTTGTGGTGTTGTGGCGGCATCCGTATGCGCAGTCATATCGGTGGTGGTCGTGTCCGTGCCGGCCGTGTTAATATGAAGCCGCGTGCGTGCTGTGCGTGTTCCTATGCCCCGTATTAGTAGCACGCTGTTCCTCTACTGTTCTTACCCTTCGCGTCCTGCTCTTCTGCATCCTCTTCATCGTCCTGATCCTGTTCGTCGTCTTCTTCGTCATCATCGTCATCAGCGTTTTCGTCCTCCGAGTCGGATATGTCTATAAAGTCCCCCCCTCTCGTCACGTTGCCCTCAGCATGCCTCGGTATGTTCTTATCCAGGTCTTTTATTTTGTCTCGTACCTCTTTTCTAGCTTCCCGAACTACAGTCTTCACTTTAGCCCACAGAATTTTCTCAGCATTCTTCTCTCGCTTAATTTTTTTAGCCTGCCCCTCACTAATTGCTGTCGATGCGCGCTCATCTTTTGATGTGCTCTTCCCATGTCCCGTGCACTTATTTCCTACTTTCTTCACCTGTAATTTCGCTTTAAACTCCTCATTTTCTTCCAACCACTTCTTTATTTTGGCTTTCATGGACCACTCTCCAATTTTTATATTCTCAGCCCTTTGCATGTTACAAATATTGTCCGTAATTAAACCATGCATAGACTGCTCTATTTCTTTCATTATATCCCATGCATACTCTATGCCCCAGTTTGCTCCGCAGGATGCCTCCAGCAATAATTCTTCAAACATGTGTACTATTCCACACCTTACATAGTCCTTTAGCCTCTCATCTCCAGTGTCCTGTGCGGCATTATTGTCCCGTTCCCATCTGTTTTTGTTCATAAAATATAGAGCCCCTACCATAAGCCTACATATAGGTCTGTTTCCTTCCGTCTTCATTATCCTATTGCCATCGTTGCGATGCTTCCAGCCCTGGTCATCACAACTAACGGTATACGCCATTATGGTATCTTTATCTTCCATGTACTTCACAAACTGTCGTAACTGATTATATATGTCCATCAATAGCATATTCTACAATGTTAAAATAAGTGACATACCTATATACTACGGTGTCCACACTGTCTCTGTGATCGTGAATAAATTCATACAAGACAACCCACTCCTTGTGTTTGTGCTCGTCGGTTTTAAAAAATAGTAATACATAACCATAATGTTCCTGTAACCTCAATGTGCCTACATTCCACAGTACGCATGTGTGCCGTGTTTACACATCCCCCCGAAATTTCCGTGTTTTCACCTATTCCCTCATGGTGCCTTACCTGATATTCGTCCTCGGACATGTAAGGTCCGCGCCGCCTGACATACTCCACCAGTAAATCCCCTAACCCCTTAGGCGACATATTGTTTCGCCTGCGGTAAGTAACAATGCTGCAATCGGAACTACTACCCTAATGTTCTGTATGAAATATATTAAGCATTATGTGGCCCATCTACACCTGCCTCCTATATTCCCCCTTTACTACGTAATAGGAATGGCTGCGGTTATCACGTAACAGTAGAAATCTATACATAATAAAAACCTGCATGTGCCCCTTCCGCTCAATCGCATTTTGCCACTACTAATAAATCATGCAGGACGCATATATAGGTAATAATCTAAAAATGAATATAGAAAAAGGAAAAGAAAGCAGAGAAAGAACAAAAAATAAAAGAAAGAAAGACCAGAACAAATAGAAAAAATACTACACGCAACGCGTCATGAATACCCCCTGCCCCGTGTCTACACGGGTGTCCACTAAACGCCTGTCACACACACTGTCTCTGTGTGCGTACACAAAAAAACCGCAGTAACAACAACAACATCAATTCTTCTGCCGTCGTTGCTGCCTTCCGCCGTCCGTGCCTCGTTCTTCCCTCCCACACATAATATGTGTGTGCCTTCTCCTCTCCCGCTGTCTGCGATCCCCCTCTCTGTGGATCCTTGCCTCGAAAACTGCTTACTGGGACAATCTGCTTTACCCGGCCGCGTTGGTCGACGCGTTTGCTAGGAGAGACAATCTCTCCTTATACTCGAATGCGTATTCGCATTCTATAGTTGTTCTACTCTACACCATTAGCATGCACTTGCTCATCTTTTAATAATTACCTTCACATAAAGGAGAATACTACCCGAGCATTTTATTCATGTAAATCTACATTTTATATGCATTTGACGTGTACCCACCTGTTCCTATGGTCATGTTAAAAGAAGTTGACTACACAGAAAAAGAACAAAACAAGGCAAAAGTAAACAGAAGTAAGCAGAACAGAGCAGAAAAAAAAAAAGAAGGTATGGAATAATGTAAACCAGAAATATATTATGTATATCACATAATGCAGTACAAGTGGTCTAATGTTAGCTTTCGTTATTTCCCATTCATGTGGCCCGTCATCCGAATGTCACAGTTTCTCCAATAGTTCATCTACATATAACTCCTTATCCTGCAAACTGCGTTAGACTTCGCACTGTTCTATGACTAATGCCAGGATCAGTATCCATATTTTAGCGGTTACCCGTTTTTGCATGTAAGGTTGCGGATGCAGTGGGTGCGTGCGTGGTGCAACTCGCACTCTTAGTGTGTCTGCTGCTGCTGTTACTTTTTCCACGTCTAAGTTGTGTTCCACTCCAGGTACGTCGCCTTTGTGCGATTCTGTGTCCTCCGCTACAGTATTCAACAAATGTTGGAACCACTCCGCCTCACCATATATATGCATAAGCTCATGTTGCTTTGCAACCCATGCTTTCCACAACCGCAGTTTCTTCATCTCTGCGGATGGGATATTGCCGCGCGCACCGAGTGCACGGTGCGCGGATACTACGTTGTGCTCGTTTGCCACCATGTGCTCACGCAGGTATTGTTTCCATGCCAACGTTAGCTGCAGAAACCACGGCTGCGTCGTGCACGCCTGCAATAGGTGCTTGTTGCGGTCAATCCAGTTAATCCAGTGGGTGCAGTACGACGTCGCGTCCCCCGGAACAGTAGAGGGACTCTGGTCTTCTTCTGTATGTATGGTTTCCATACAACTCCATGGATCGGGGTCATGAGGTCGACGAGGGTCCGTTTCTAACTGTATGGATTCCATACAACTCCATGGATCGGGGTCATCATCTGGACAAGGGTCCGTGGCTAACTGTATGGTTTCCATACACTTCCATGGATCGGAGTCCTCGTCGTTAGGCGGAGAAAGGTCCGTTCCGTCGGACTCGGTGGGTGGATCCATGGTGAATGACACAGTGTTCCCCGATAAACCCTCGTTTGTGGTAGAAACACCCAAGATATTGTTATTCCTGTGGTCGTCCCGCATCAAATCCTGTGCAAACGCTTCAACGAGTATTTGCAAATAGTCGTCTTTGACGTTTTCGCATTCGGTTGCTTCACATTCGTTGAGCACTTCTAGATTTAGCTCGATGATGGTGCGTTTATGCACGCGTGGTTGACGTCGTCGTCGTTCGGCAGCAGATGCAGGTTGCGTATGCCTCACCATGGTGTACCCGTAATCGAGTGGCGGCAGTTCGCCTCGTTGTAGATGGTCCAATATGTCTTCGTCGAGTAGCGGTGACGGCACGTCACGAACGGTTCGATATGTTCGTCGTCGTTTGGCGAGGTGCGCAAAATACTAAACAAAAAAAGAAGAAGGACGATGTAGGAGTGCATTGGTGTTGGAATGACCGTACAAAACATGCCGTTGGGAACACATTACTATGGTACATATTGCGGATATGCATATACGGTGTCCACTGGGTTATATTTGTGCATGCTTGTGCTTTGTGCGTGTGGTTGTGTGGTTGTGCGTTTGTGTGGTTGTGCGTTGTGGCTGTGCTTACCTTCCATAGGGAATAACCAAGAAGGGCGACGATGACCAAAGTGACGAAGGCGAGGACGGGAGTAGTGGCGGTAAGGACGTCGGCGGTTAGGTCGGGTCCATCGGGACCTCCTGGACCCGTAGGTGGATGTTCACTTATAACTGTTCTATGTGGATCAATGGGCGTCGGATTTGGTCCATATGACCCCGTTATACTGTGCATGTGGGTCGGAGGACCAGACAGTACCCCAATATTAAAGTTTTCATGTGCACCACGGAAAATATCACATCTTCCAGTATCAGGACTACAGGGGATATCGAAAACATCCCATGCCGCTGGGGTCGGTTTTGGTTTGGGTGGATTGAGAGGAGGGGGGTCATCGTTGCCGACATCGACGACGCCAGTGACGACGGCTTCCCCGGGGTCGGCATGCTTCGTGTCACTCGTTTTACCCTCCGCTGCTGGTCCTGTGGATGGTGTCGCGTCTGCAGGTGATGGTGTTGTTGTGTCTGATGATGTTGCTGTAGAACCTGCATTGGACGGTGCCGGCGGTTCCGGTTCTGGTTCTGGTTCTGGTTCTAGTTTTGGTGGTGGCTCAGGGACTGTTACTGCAGTTCCTAAAAGAAGGTTTGGGAAAAGGACAATGATGAAATGCAAGGTTTTGTGCGGTGGTTGCTCGGCAACACGGGTGTTGCGCTCCGTCGCTGGGTGCTCGGCAACACGCTTGGCGACATGATGCCACGGGGGCAGCAGACGGACGGGGGAAGAAGGGAAACTTGCCACCCGGGAAAAGACTCTCTCTGTCTCTCGCACAACACACACAACACACACAGACACAGTGTGTGTCTGTCGACATCTGTCTACGTCTACATCCAGCGGCCGACCGATCGCTCTCTCCCCTCTTCTTTCTCATTCGACGTTTGGTTTCTCTCTCTCCGTGTTGTCTCTCCCTCTCGCCGGAAATGTTTTTGTTGTTTTTTCACTCCGATTATTAGTCCATATGTGTTGGGTGCACAATGCCTGTTAGGTTACTGTATCTCACTCATTGGCTCAATTACCGGTGTCCGCACATCCGGGTGAAGTATCTGGCTGGAATATACTAATTGTGATGGACCCTCCTTCTTGTCGTCCTTTGTGTGTTTCAGTTCGCAGGACCTTATCACATTTTGCGTTTGCTCCCTTACCTGTCTTAGCTGATGCGGTATCACCTGAGACTGTTCCCTTAGTCCCGGGTTGTCCTGGTGGTGCTCCTGCGTCTCCCGTGGCCGCATCTTTCCCGGGCTGATGTGTCTCTGCTGAGGCCGATGGTGATACTGGTGGTGGTACTTCGGCTGCCTTCGGTGGTGCTTCTGGAACTTTAGTCGGCGGAGCTTCTTTCTTCTTCTCCTTGTCCTTTCCTGCCAAGAAGAAAGGAAGATGAACAGACGATAAAAAAGCGACACAAGTGGTAGACAGAAAGAACGGGCCGGGACGGTGCGGTCAGGTAACGGCCGGGTAGGGGCGGGACGGTGTTACAGAGAGCGCACGTTGTTAGAAGAGGACAAAGACAGGAAGAAAGGGGGGCGCACTCGGTGGACTGGGTCAGGCGGCAGCACGCGTACGTTGAGGTGAACTCGGTCGACTGGGTCGAGGTAGGACTCGGATGGACTCCGTACTCGGTGAACTGGGCTAGATGGTAGCAGTACAACTTTTATTTGTCGCCGTCATGGCGTCCGCCGTGCCGTCCTGGCCGCCGGCCCGCTGCAGCCGTCCTCGCCCCACTCCATCCCCACGCACCACTGTCACACCAATGTGCGGCCGCTACACTGGTCATCGCAGCACACACACACCTCGTCTGCACTCGTGTACACTTCGTCGTCGCCACGGCTACCACTACCGTCGTGGTCGCTGTACGCGGCTCCACGAGGGGGTGTTGTTCCCCCACGTGTGCGTTGTTGTTCATTCGTGTTGTGGTGTGGTTGCCGCCTCATTAGCTTCGGGTGTTGCGCGGCCAACTGCATTACCTGCTTTATCCGCTTCTGACTTGCCCGGTGGTGTTGATGTTGTTGTTGATGATCCGGATGATGACGATGTTGTCTGTACCCCTTTTACTCCCGATGTCGTTGCAGTATTCCCTCCTCCTTCTATCTTCTGCGTAACCTCGTTCTTAATTTCCACAAAAATGTCCTTTATACCGTCCGTCAATTTCTTCGTTACGTTTTTGGCTTTCATTTCCCTCGTAGTTGCTGCATCTCCGTTACCCTGGCTGCCTTTTATGTGCCCGTCCTTATCGAGTCCCCATTTACAGATATCGCTTACACCTGCTTTGCGCATTGTTTCCTGTAGTTTGGTGTTCGTACTTAACCATTGTTTAATTTTCTGCTCCATAGACCATCGTCCAGCTTGAATATTTTGATATACTTCATTTGCACAATGCATCTTTTGCATTTTGCCTCCCGTGGATGCGTCCATTTGTTGCATGGTGTACCATGCATAATAAATACCCCACTCCCTGCCGCATGCTGACTCCTTTAAAAACGTTGCAAACATGTTCAGTATGGCACACACCACATACTCCTTCAACCTTTCATCATTGTTATTCTCCGTGTCTGGTGCCCCCGTGGCTTTGGTCCTCGTATGTATAAAGAATAATGCCGCAGACATGAGCTTGCACACAATCCTGTCACCTACGGTGTAACCCACGTGCGCATGCGTTGCATGAGTTCGCCAATGTTGCCAACCATAATTATCACAGTTTGCACCCAAGGCCTCCATAAGTGACTCCATCGTTTCCATATGTTCAACAAACTCTCCGAGCATGGCCCCGATGTCCTTGTCTAAACTGGCCTACAATGTATAATGTGCAAACATATGCTGGACCTGGGTGCATGCGTATTCATGCACTCGTTGCATTCAAACATTCACATAGCACGACGTCGCTCGTGCCTATTACTGTGTTCTAAATTTGCGCATTCAATGTTACCATGATATATGCAGTAACACACTTCTACGCACATTTACACGTGGCACCAACATATATGAGCGCGTATACTCCTATACACTCTCTACTGTCTCTTTCATAATTAATTACCTGATAAAGCTCATCATTGCCGTATAGGTGCCTATCCTTTACGTATTGTGCCAATATATCCCCTAATTCCTTAGCCGACATACTGCTTCGTCTTCGATTAGCTCCAATATTACACAACTGAGTATTGTCCCAATGTCCCACGTGAACTATATTAACCGTCACATGTCCCCTCTAGGCCTTGTTATATTCTACCTTTAGTATTGATGAGTAATTGCTGGCCTTAACACATAACATTAGAACATTATACATAACAAAATCCTGTTGTACCTGTGTGGAATCCCATTCGTCTACTATTATTATATTCCGCAGAAACCATATATTAAGAATTACAGAGGAATAAATATAGAGGAACCACAAAAAAAAAAAACAGAACAAGACAAAGAAAGGTAGACAGGAAAAAACAAAGTACTACTACACAACCTACACACAAATCGCGTCATGAATACCACCCCCCACTCCCTTCTCCACTAAACCCCTTCACACACACTGTCTCTGTGCATACAATAAAAATGGCAGTAACAACAACATGAATGTCTTCTTCCGTCATTGCTGCCTTCCGTCCGTGGTTCGCCCTCCCACAAAATATGTGTGTTCCTTCTACGCACCCCGCCCACTCTCTGCTTCCTCGGTGGATCCCTCACTCGAACCGCTGTACTCGGAGACAATATCCTCCTTCTTACACCCGGCCGCGTTACTCGGCCGCGTTTGCTCGGAGAGACAATCTGTCGTCCTTGTTACACTCGGAGGCAATCTCGTTTTACCCGGCCGCGTGTGCTCGGAGAGACAATCCTCCTTCTTACACTCGGCTACTTCGTCGAATCCGTTCACTCAAATAATCCTTTACCCGGCCGCGTTTGCTCGACGAGACAATTTCTCCTTCTTACACTCGGCCACTTCGTCGAATCCGTGCTACACTCGGCGACTACATCGAACGCCGTTGCTCGGAGATAATCTCCTCCTTCTTACTAGGACAATGCATGTACGAGGACGCGGCAACGACGGCAGAAGACATTGATGTTGTTGTTATTACTGCGGTTTTTAGGTGTACGCACACAGAGACACAGTGCGTGAAGGGGTTTAGTGGAGACCGGTGTAGAAAGGCGTATTCATGACGCCTTGTGTGTACGGTAGTGTAGTGTAACTTTTTTTTTTTCCTCTCTTTTTCTTTGTTTTTTTTTCTTTTCTTTTTTTTTTTTTTTTTTCATTCTTCTATTCTTCGTGTTTTTTTGCTTCCTATATTCATATTTCCTTTATTTCCTACACATACATCCTACGTGATTTAATAGTATTCGAACAAAGTGATTGCACTAGGAGGCAGAGAACTAGTGGTTTTTGTTCTGTATAGAGTTCTAGTATTATGCATTCAGGCAGGGAAAACACCTAATAAGTAGTACCGACGGCATATCAAAAGAATGCGTAGATGGTCCATGTAGTGGTTCATGGAGTTCACATGCAACACTAGGGCACCAGTGCCGCACGTAACCTTGTAGCTTACCTGAAGAACAAAGAGGAATATGGGTGCACGCATGTTCACGGATCTATTGGTGGCATATATAATCAGAAGACGAATCCAGGGAGATAGAGCCGATGGGCAGGAGTTTAGCGTACGTTGCCGTGAACATTATGTGGGCAGGAGGAGTAACTGGACTCATTTGTGTGGCACACGGTGCACACTACACACAATTATAGAATTATAAGGGAACATATGGATCATGTGGGCTACTATTGTTGTATACATTTAGAGAGACGTATGTGGGGAATATTGTATACACTGTACTCTTCTGCATAGGGAGCGTACAACTAGGGCAGTGGTACAGTATAAATGAATGCTTCAATTATTTCAATTGTAGGAGAAAATATGGACGGATATAAAGAGCATGTTCAGCGAATTAGGTGAATACTTGAATCAGCGACCATACGACATTACGCCACAAACCATATGTAGCAACAACGAATTCCGGCCCGCGTATCCTCAGGGTCTGTTCAATACATTATTATGTATGGAAGTGGCGACAATATTTTATTATATGGAGGGATTGAATAAACACGGCACCGCGCAGAGTAGTACGGATCCAGGAGAACGCGAGCTGCGGAACTACTTAAGGTGCATGATAGGGACCTGGACCCTCATGAGGTTACATGGCAACAAATGTAACATCAGAGAAATAACGAAACATGTTTCCACATTCATGGGTACGCTGGCGGAAGGCTTCAATGCTGCAACTAATAGACACAAATGTGCTTGGGTTAAATTTGAGGAACTAAAAATTGGAACACGCCTTATGGGGGAAGCAATGGAACAATGGGTAACCCAATGGAAAAGCCGAAGGCCTAAGATACCTCAGGGCATTAGAGCACGAGGATGTGATCAGGTCGGAGGAGGGCGGATGCGGGCAGGAAGTGGAGAAGGAGATGGACCAAGCAACAACATTGATATATTGAAAAGTGAAAATTTGGACACAGTGGCGGCGTGGATCGAGAAGAAGGAGTACCTACCGAAAGCTAGCGTAAGCGACATAATGGTAAAAGTCGGAAATAGTCAGAACACGCAACAAGGTAAAAAAATATTAGACGACGCAATAAACACTTGGGACCAGGAAAGGAATAAAATATCATCCAATGCAGCAGAGACATCATCAACACCAGCAGCTCCATCGGGCGGGTCAGAACACGGTAATCAGGATGCATCCACTAATACCAGCGGTCAACAACCACAAGCAGGACGCAGACCGCCTGCCGCACCTCCGCACCCGGATGGTAAGGCAACATCGGTGCGACACCGCTGAACAACAGCACACAACAAACAGCACTGGCGCTGCGCTGACCTTGAGACCCCGGTACCCATACGACGGCATGCGCATGATAGCGATGGCCACAATACGCACACGAGAACGGCATCGCGCACGCACGCGGCACAACCTGTTCGCTGATGTTGCGCGGCGAGGGACGCAAACGGACGGAACGGGACGTCGACAAATAAAAGTGTACTGCTACCACCTCCGTCCATCGAGTGCGCCCCCCTTCCTTTTTTTGTTCATCCATCTGTTTTGTTTTTATCGTCCTTTCATCTTCCGTTGTCCCCCTTGCAGAGAAGGAAAAGAGCAAGAAGGCAGATGCGACGACTAACGGGAAGAAACAACAGGGGGAGAACGACCAGGGGGACAAGAAGGCCAGAGAAAAAGCAGATCAGACAGGGGTGTCGTCAGCGCCAACAACTTCCACAAATGCACAAACACCGTCCGCCCCAGCACCCAAAGGGAGATCAGAAACATCTGGTGCGGACACGCGGGTCCCAACATTACCACCCGTACCACAACCCCCACTGGCGGCACCACCACCAGCACCCTCACACCCGATACCCAGTGTTGTCACTAATCAAGGGGCAGGGGACACCACAACAGGAACAGGGGACCCCGGTACTCCAGGTAGGGGAACAAATGAAACTACGAGCAGGGACACGTCCACGGGAACTGCCACTGGTAACGTACAAAAATGTACGCAACTGGAGGATGCAGGCGAGGACCCGGTGTTTGAGTGTCCAGAGAGGGAACTGCAAGATACGGGAAGTGTGCATGTCCCGGATGAGGTAGATGACCTCATTGGCAACGGCCCCATGGGTGTCCACGGAGCTTCCCGTTCCATAGAAGTATCTGAGGGGACCTCCGTTACTGCTCCCGTATTACCCCCAGGTACGAATAATGCACAGTCAGGAAAGGAAGAAAGAACAAAAAATAAAATAAAATAAAAAAAAAACCAAGACACACCTTTTCCGGAGAGCACACGCACAGAGAGAAACCAAACGTCGAATGGGAATGAAGAGCACAGGGACGGGGCGACAGAGCAGCCGCAGCAGAGCAACGGGTCGGCCGCGCGATGTAGAAACGTCGACACACACGCACACGGGGGAACGGCACAATAGCGATGCGCAAACATCTGAACAGTAAACGCCTTCGGTACCCCCACTTCGGTTGAGCGGCGAGCGTAGAGGTGCGGCGATGAGTGTGCGGTGGCCACGACGGGAGCGACGAGCGTACCGTGCAGCGGCCACCGTAGAATTGCCAAGTGTGCGGGGCGGCGTCACAGTGGTGTGACCGTGGTGCGTGGGGATGGAGCGAGCATAGCCCACGACGGTAGCGGCAGCGGCAGCGGTAGCGGCGACGCGTGTGGAGTGTACGGAATTTATGCATATAAGGGGAATATATGTGGATAGTTTGTTAGAAAAGCTTTAGAGACAACCAGGAAACAGGAAGCGGGGATGTGTATACGTTGTTCTCATGGCAAATGCTGTCATAGTAGATGTGACTATGACGCATGTCGTTGTGACAGGTGCCACAAGCTTCGCTGAAACCTCACTTTTACTAATGGATCTAACTGGTCCTACTACACCTTGATTTCCAGTGTCAATATATTTTTTGTCCGAAGATGTATCACAGAATGTATGTTATTATCACAAAAAACGAACACGAGAAGACATGACCATATAATAAAAAAATATGTAGGCTCCCCTGCATATAGATCCTGAGATATTATATAGGCCCATATATACCATATAAGAAGAATGGAAAAACAGAGGTACTTACTTAAATTCAGTAACGAATTTGCTATATCAGTATCTTCATGCAAGTGCCCTACTCATGAGTATTCAGTTAACAAATCAGTGTAACACCCTCTATATAATACCATTCTCTATATTATTACTTTGTACATTACAGCTTTTTTTGCGCTCGTGCTCTTTACACATTACCCGTTGCTACAATATTATTTTTTACCCTCTGCATGACCTACATATTGCTACCTGATATATGATGAACACATTATTAAAATATTTTACATAAAATACCGCATCATTGTGAACATAAAAGAATATTTAAACCTAAAAACCCAAACCCTTAAGCCTGAAAAGTATCGCATCATACCCTGAATACAAATTATCTAGCCCGCTTTTATCCACGTCTTTTCCATCATTATGCCCAAGTTAGAATAATAAAGTGCTGTAGTACATATATAGAAGTTGCTATTTTTCAAAATAAATAATATTCGCATTTATTCGACGTCTGCGCGTTCGACGTTTTTAAACAGTGCGCAAATATGTATTTACAACGTACCAAGCACTTAATTCGCTCTTACATTATATATTATGCAATAAAATCACGCTGCTTTTATATTATTACTACATTACCATATTTATCTTATATGTATTCATATTTATATTAATTTTTTATGTAAAATAATATATATAGGCACGTATGACAGAAAAACAAGAATAGCGCATATTGTCAAAAGACCGAATTAGCATCCACTTTTGCGTAAAAAATACAAGCTTATTTCCTGTAAAAATTTATACATATATGAAAAAAAGAACAGTTCTATAATCCTTGCGTATATATTAAAAAAAAAAAGAAAAAGCAGATAATCTCACATAATGCGCTCATGAATAAAAAA